TCTCCCAGAAATATGCACACTATCATTTGGGAGACTGAGTATGCATATGGATCATTCATGAGAGGGCCAGGAGCAACTCATGCCTCTCATGCTTCAAGTCCCTTGATATCTTCTGAAGTGTTCTCATTAATCAAGCTCCTGGTCCTGCATGATGTCCCTGTTGGGTGTGGTGCTTTACTGGGCTTGCTGGGTGTGTTGTTCTACTGGGATCACCACGCCTGCCCACTAATGGTCCATGGTGCTTCTACTGGTCTGCTCCTGGCTACATCACTTCATGGGGCTCTGCCAACATTGTCTTTGGCTTAAGTGTGAATGAATTTGAATCTAAACTAAAGGAAATTAGGTCAATACAGCCCCCAACTCTAAAGTCTCACCCCACTGTTGGCTGAAAATAATATAAGAGATATAAATCATTAAATGGAAGATTACTATGAGCTAAAAGCTCTCTTTATAAACTATTGAGGTAGAAGAATTAAGGAAGCATTGGAAAGGAAGAGTTTTGAATAGCTGGGATGTAGCATATTTTGGAAACAGATCTGCCCTTTGCCTCTAAGTCTTTATTATTGACACAGTACAATATAATATGTACCATTTCTCCTAATTTTTCAGTCTCTAGAAATTATTCCACATAAAAGGTAAAGCTCTCTTTTCCTCTTAACCAAGACTAGTGGGACATTGCTATATATCTAAGAACATTTCATCCCTCTCAGAATCTGTAAAGCTTTTAAACTCCCTACAAATCTAAAATAACCAGTACTCTGTGTGATGAGGGGCTAGGGACTTTATGGGGGAAGTTGTCAGGTGGGCATCAACTCCAGTATGTGATCTAAGGAAAGAAAGAGGCACATTTAGAGTTGGAATCAGTGCCCATCTAGTCCAGTTCCTACTTACAAATACCCAAGAAGTGGTCATCTAGCCTCAAGACCTCTAATAAGGTCAGGCCCATCACTTCTTGAGGAATCCTGTTCTACTTTTGGATGGCTTTATTAGTTAGGGAGTTTTTTCCTGATAATAAGCATAAATTAGTCTTTTTATACCTTCCACTGTCCTGGTTCTGTCCTCCGGAACCAAATAAAACTAGTCACCCAGCAGAGCCTCTACAACCCACAAGGAGCAGCTCCAGGACATCACAAGTTACTAGTCAACCCAGAATCATCAAAAAAATATAAGTTGCATTAGCCACATGTGCTCACTATATATATTTCCTCTACTTGTGAACTCTATGCAAGTACATCTCCCCACTGATGTCATATACATTCGTGAGAAGGTGCATTTCAGGTCTATGGGGAAAATATTTTGCTGATCCTTTCTTACTGTGCCATTTCAGTAAATGCCTTTGTTCTGAGTTAATTATATCCTCTGATTATTGAAAGGCACATCAGTGGGGGCTTATGAGCCATAGTTTGGACCCACAGAGTACTTTGAACTTTTTTAATCGTCCCCCCTAGGAAACTCAACCCATGAGTATAAGTCAAGGAGAATATCCCAAGGGAATACTACTCTTACATCAAATCTAAATTCACTTGTGCAACCCCTACCTAGATTGTTCCTAATTCTGCCCTCAGGAATCAGTTCTAATCCTACTTTCATATGATAGCTTTTTACATACTTAACAATAAATTATACACTCATGAATCATCTTCTCTCCATGAAAAATCATTCTGAAATCCTTCAACTAATCCCCAAATGGCATATCTGCAGCCATTGTAACATCTAGGTTGTCCTCTTTTGTAGACAGTTCAACTTCTCCATGTCCTCTCTAAAATAAGACAAGAAAAATTGGAGGCAATATCTACTGATTGATAAAGTCCTCTGAATTTCCACATTTATGGCAAAGTATCTCAAAATGAGATGCTATCAATGGTATTATTCTTCACAATTTTTCCAACCACTAATCCAGATAACTATTTTGTATTTATAACTGTAGCAGAAAAACCCATTTCATAAAAATAAGATGTTACTTTTTTTATAAACCAGATTATTTAATTCACCAGTAGTCATAACATAATAAGATTTTCAGGTCCCAACACGTACTATCACAAGACAAGTCTATTAACTGTTTTGATTTGGATAGAATCAGATGACACATATCATATGTTTCCAGAGCAAATGGGTTCCCTACATACTCACATTTAGAAATATGTAGGTCAAAAATGAGAATTACTTCCATAGACTGGTCTTTAATAAGCTATGATTAATAACAGATTTTTATTTTCTTCTACTTCACGCATAGGACAAGTGTTTCTATATTGGGAAATACAAGCTCTAATTGTTCATAAGTGAAGGCCCATTTTATGTATCAGGACATGACTTTAAGTACCTTACATTAATTCATTTAGAGTACTCAGGTTTTTAAAAATATCCACCAAATACTCAAGTTTCAGGAGAAAATTGTTATTTTGAACTTAATTTACTTCTTTTTATCATTATCTATAAGAAAAATGGTAATTTCTTCTTATAGCTCAAATACCCTTTGAAAGTCTCTGGAATAAGAAAACCTATTTGTCTTTCAATAATATAGAGGTATGTTATGTATAACTTCATATTATACAATTTTGCAAAGAACTTTCCTTCTAGTGTACTTGTTTTTATAGTTGTTTACCATTGTAACCATTTAAAAACCCTATGGGACCCCTCACATATTTCTCGATACAAATTTCTGCCTGCTAAGCATGGAATGTGTCGAATTGAACAAGGGGCCATATTTATGACTAGTGCTTGTGGACTTGTTCTGGCATCGTGCGATATTTTGTCCTGACATCATATGAATTCTAACAGTGCACAGTCTAATACAATGCTCCCACATTATATCATTTTCATTTTTTAAATCTGTCAAATATATTCAGATTTTCTCTTGATGTGGCGTTGCTATCAATAGACATTCCAAATAACAAATCTTCATTGGCATTAATTTCAGAAACTAACAAATGAGATTTTTTTTAAAAAATTAGCCTCATCCTCTTATAATGCAGAATGCAAAGATTTTAGTTTCTCAATTATTTGATCAAAATGTCTATAGACATATAGGTAATATTTTTTACTAAAGTATCTGCAAGCAGAACTCTTCAAGGTGCTGCTTTGCATATAATTTCCTAAGCATCACTACAGGAGGCATTAATGCTTATCTACCACATGAGATGTTTTACTTTTAAAAATTCTATGAGGAGCCTTCCATAATGCAAAAAATTCTTTTGATATAGTTTTGACATAGTTTTAAAACAGTTTGGTTTTGCTTATCAAAATTACCTAGTTTTCTCTGGAAGAAGTACCTTGGCTTACCAGTGTCCACTTTTAAAATGTCATTTCAATTTATTTGGTTTGATTTCTCTTGTAATTAAAGTACATGTGCAAAGTTCACATAATGGTCCTTCTTCATCGTGTATTTGAATATCTCAATAAGTATAGCAGATTGTATTTTCTTATTTGGGACTTTTTTTTAGGTTTGCTTTTCTGTATTTCCCTTACATTAGATTTTCTCTGTTATCTGTGCTTGCACAATTTTTAGCTGCTTCAGTGAACTTTCTCCTCAAATTGGTTATGTATTTATCCATCACAAAATGACATTGTTTTACTTTGGAGACAATGAAGAAGGAGACATACAAGGTGACAGCAGGCAATACCAAAGCATAGTTGTCATCCATCCTGCAAACCATAGCTCTGTGACAAAGGTTGCATCTAGGTAGCACAGATGCTTCAGAGCTGGATAATTCAGAACAGCCTGCAGAGGGCAGCAAAGTCATAGACCCCTTTGGCAGTCTGGTGAAGACTATGGACACCTCAGAATAATGTTTTTAAATAATTGAAAGAAATACTCCATTTTAGCTAAAGGTTTGTAAAATTAAAGATGTAGTTTTTTTCTGATAAGGGTTCAAAGATCCCTTAAAATGTATCAACTGACCCCTGACAGGTCTGTAGTCCCCAGGTTAAGAATCTCTGCCATAGAGCCTGCACACTTGAAAGAACAGATCTGGAAAAAAAGTATACATATATTCTACATGTAACAAGGGCGAATGAGGCTATAGGGGCCATCTGAGGAACATGTTTCCAGAGCTACCATCCCACCCCCCACTGAAACTTATTGAGACTCCAAGGACATGTTGATTCATTCCTGAGGACTTTGGGTATGATAAATTTTTTGAGTGTTTCTGGTCATGCAGTGTCTCAGCTCTGAAAGGATTTGGTGTTTTGGAATAACATGGAGGATACTGAGTGGTGCCTTGGTCTTTGCTCCCCTCCCCTCCTCTCATGACAATTACTGTGTAGGCAGGCTTTTCTACTGAGGAAGAGAAGGGTCTTTTTCACCCCTCACTAGAACCACATCTTGCCACCTAAATAGCCCCAGAGAGCCTAACTGGACCCTGTTTCTTCTCCTTTTGTTTAATTCAATCAACACATTGACATTTCAATAGTTTTGTGATCTCATCAATAAAGATACACCCCCCCATTGATTCAGATTACAACCCATCCATACCTATCTTGTACAATTTTTGCCCATCTCATCCCACAAATTCTCCAAGAGAGAGGCTCACCAAATGTTCTAAGGGATGTCTTCTAGGTCCTTTGGCATTCTATGGACACAAATAAATCAATCAAGATGATAAGCCTAAGTTTATTTCAAGAAAAAAGCTTACTTTCCTAAATCTGAGGCCTCTAAGATAGGGTTGGTCTTCTAATTCTTATTATCTTCCACATAATAATATGTGAAGACACAAAGGATCTGGTGTTTCTTAGAGAACTCTCCGATATGGAAACTTCTTCCGCTACCGTAGATTATAACCCATCTATACCTAGGAAAGTCCTAAGGAGTTGTAGGAGGCAAGCGGAAGAAATTAGGTGACTTGTCTAATTTTAGGCCATTAATATGTGTCAGAGAGTGGGCTTGAACCTAAGTCTTCCTTACACCAAGCCCAGCAACTCTAGTATGCAACAACACCTGTAATAGCTCATACTTATATAAAGCTGTGTAATTTGTAAAGCAATTTCTTCGCCACTATGCAGAAATGGAAGTTTCTAAGGGCCGAGCTGTTGTGCTACAGATCCCATCTTGGGGTACTTGGAGGGCTGAAACTAAGCTGGTACCAAGTGGGAAGTCCCTTACCCTTCTCCCAGGTCAGGCCACACCAAACTACATGGGGGTTCTTGGTGAGTCACAGGACGCAGCCAAAGTGATACCAAGTTCCTTCTCTGCCTTAGGCCACCCTAGAGACCTCCCCTGCCCCTACTTTCTTGACGATATTCCTTTCTCCTCTTCTCTTCTGGCTAGATTCCCCATTCCCACTCCTATCGGAGGGAACCCAGAATCCTACTTAGCTCTACTCTCCACTTTCCAATGGTATTGGGCCAAGCTCTATGTTTCCTTCCCTTTGGGGCAGCCTCCTCATTGCTTCATAAGTACTATTGGACCTTGCTATTTACGCTATTGCCACATATAAGGTTCCCTGAACCTTTCCATTTGCCCTTCAGGGTCATCAACATTAAGTATTTGCCTTTAGATGGGGAGCAGTGATAAGGAAAGGGGACTGTTGGAAAGAAACAAATCCATGACATTCTTGAAGATTCAAGTATGTTGTTTTCTAAATACAAAATACTCTACACTCTCCACCAGTTCACTCAAAATACAGGAAGCCAGAGTACTGGTTCCGTTAAAAAAAAAAAAAATTCTTCGTAAGAGTGGCAGCAGCAGAGAAGGGGTAGGAGGAAGAAAGAAATGTTTCTCTCCAGTGGCAACTCCCTTCCATAATGCTCCTGCCCAGTGGAGCTGCACCTGAAAGAAGATGGAAATAAAGTGGAGGCTTTCAGTAAGGATGCCTCCCTGATGGACATGAAGTACATCCATCTTTTAATTCCAACATCCCCCTTATCCATGATAACCAATACTAGTCTGAAGATGAGTCAGACTTGAAGGACTTTTTCATTATAGTTAATGATCCTGAAAGTCACATTATTGCAATCAAAACATTCATCACCTAAAGAGTTGCTGCTAAAACCTAACAGGGTAAATTTGATTCTAGCTAACTTGAAGTTCTTATAAATTTCTTACAAGGCAGCAAGATGGCACAGCGGAGAGAGGGCCAGTATTGAGTTAAAATCTGGCCTCAGACACTTCCTAGTTATGTTACCCTGTGAAAGTCACTTAACCTTGTTTGCCTCAGTTTTCCACATCTGTGAAATGAGCTGGAGAAGGAAATGGCAAACCACTCCAGTATCTTTGCCAAGAAAACCCTAAAATAGGGTCAAAAGAGCCAGACATGACTGAAAATAACTGAACAGAGTTTGAATGATAGAGCAGTCAGCAGTCAACTGCTCTATTCTTTACAGCACGATGGAAAAGTACCAGGTCTTACCAGATGTCCTACCACTCTCTTTTAAGACCCTCCATGCCATACCAAGTACTCTGTGTCAATGCCCGGCAGTGCCCAAGCACTGCCATCTTCACTACTTCAGCAACCTAAGGACCTCTTGAGTTCTGGCATATGCTCCACTACAGCACTTTAGGATATTTCCATTTGCCCTGCAACTGAACCTTTTTTAAGGGACTTTTCCCCCCTCAGAGTATGAGCTCCTTGAGAACAGAGACTGTCTAACTTCTGTTTGCATCCCCAGTGTTAAGCACAGGCCTTGGCCTATAGTAAGCTCTTAATAAATTGCTTTTTCATTCATTCATTCATTCATTCATTCATTCATTCATTTAAAATAAACCAAGAGAACTCTTGCCTCATTTTCTTTGATGATACAGTCACTATCAACCAAAGACCTTCTTTATGAGGTGAGCTGCATTCACTATAACTGGTTTAAAATGTGATCATTTTATGTAGGACACCAATAATTTGAAAACTCAGCTGTTCCTGGGCTCTCATCTACATTTTGATCATAGTATAGATATTGCTTAGTTTTAATTCTATTATTCTGACATTTTTGTCTGTAAGCACTTCATATGGTGATGGTTTTATTAAATATTCTGCAGTTGAAATGTGACATTTTAGATAGGTTGTAAAAGCTTCATTTTAATAAATAGTATAATAAGAAAAAAAATTACCTCATTAGAGGAAGCACACTATAGTAATAATCCCTGATTTTAGAGGCAGAAGGCATGAGTTTATCTTCCGGATCCATAACTTCCTAGCTGTGTGACCCTAGACACATAGCTTAACTTCCCTGAAACTTGGTTTCCTCACCTGTAAATGAGGGTGATACTTTTCCTATTTCTCGTAGAAGGCTGTAATGAGGAAAATGTTTTGTAAAAATCTATGAAATAATATTTGAAAAAATTTCTTTTTAGTTAAAAAATAACATTTTTCTCTAAAGCCCTTTCCAAAATTCTTAGGAAAATCCCTTGGGAAGGTGAGCAATAGGTTGGCCACAAAAAAGCTTTTTTTTTTCTTAAATTCAATTTTATTATATTTTCGGTTACAAATTTTCTTTCTTCTCCTTCCTCTTTCCCTATCCATTGAATGGGGGGGGGCGAACATTACAAATATGTATAGTCATGAAAAAATTACCTTATTAGTGAGAAAAACAGAAAGACTGAGAGAAAGAAAGAAAGAAACCAAGCAAGAAAAAAAAGAGAGGGAAGGAGGGAAGAAAGGAGGAAAGAAAGAAGGGCTTCTCTAATTGATGGACATACCATGAGTCACCAATTCTTTGGTACCACAAAAAGATCTGCTATAAATATTTTTGTACATATGACTCCTTTTCATCTTTCTTTGATTTCTTTGGAGTATAGCCCTAGTGGTGATATTTCTGGGTTAAAGGGTATGAACATATGAATAGCTTTGAGGACAGAGTTCAAAATTGCTTTCTAGACTTTGTGGACTAGTTCATAGCTCCACACAGGGCATTACTATACCTGTTTTCCCACAACTCAAGCATTTGTCATCTTGGCCAATCTGATGGATATGAGGTGGTACCTCAGAGATATTTCAATGTTTATTACTCTTTTATCAGTGAATTAAAGCATTTTTATGTGTTTATTAGTAGAGTGATTTCTTCCTCTGAAAGCTGCTAATTTGTATCATTTGACCATTTATCAATTGAGGCAAATAGGATGTTTTCTTTGTTAAAAGGATTAAGAGTAGTACCTACCCTTTTAACAAAGAATAATTCATCTTGTTTACATTATTGCCTCTCCAATCATTTGCTGCTGATTGGCTCCATGACTCAAACTTCTCCATTAACAAAGGATATTAATATCTAGCAAAGACAGGTTCCTTTATTTATGGAGTTCAGAAGGGAATGGGATTATGAGTCAACCATCCTGGAGTATTAACCAAAACTGCATATTACATATTACAATCTTTTCCTCATTCTAGATTCCTATAAATGTTACTTGAAATTATCTTGGGTCAGAATCATGTCAGAGGACATGGGGAAACTATGCCAGTTTGTACATGTCTCTTTCTAAGCTAGAAATGCTTGGATATTAGGTTAATGTTAAATAAAATTGTTTCTGGCAGACTTGAGCCTAAGAAGATATATGTGTGTGTGTGTGTGTGTGTGTGTGTGTGTGCTTATATATATATGTATATATGTATACATATATATTACAAACATTAAAGCACAACTTAGAGATGAGCTATGGTTATGACTTTGACCTTGAAGCAGGACGATTGAATGAAACACAGTAGATTCTTGAAGAAGAAATCAGGGCTTTTTAATGGTCCTTCCTTAGTATAATTTCTTGGGCTCCAGGACTTGACAGAATGAGTCTGATCTCCCTTCCCTTCCATGTGAAAGTAATTCAAATATTTCAATATAGTTATCATATCAAAAAAAATCTTTGCTTCTCCAGACTAAACATTCCCAAGTTCCTTCAAATGGCCCTCATTGAGGACCTTAACCATCCTGTCAGTTAATCGTCTGGAAGATCTTCAATATATTAGACCTTTTGAGGATTGATTTTTAATACGTGGACGAGAATTGCCCAGAATCCTTATTCTTCTCTATGCTGAATTCCAGACTTCCCCTACCATACCCCAGTTCTTCACCCTGAAGTCTCATTCCAGCCCTAGAATTCACACATTAGAGTACCTTCTGCCCTGAAGGATCTCCTTCTGATTGGATGTCTTCCAGAACTTCCATTTAAGGACAGCACACAGGCCAGCCATATCTCACTCCTCTCCAGGCTTCACTCTTGATAGCCTCACACCAGATACCTGAGCCCCTTTCACCTTTCTTTCATGTATTGCCTCCCTCCATTAGAATGTTAGCTTCCTGAGGTCAATGACTGTCTTTCTTTCTACTTGCATTTGTATCTTCACCACTCAGCACAGTGCCTGGTGTATGGAATATACTGAATAAATGCTTGCTGACTTGAGAAGCTATGGATAGGCTGATACCTGAACAGTGAGAAGGAGGGGACATTGGGGACCTGTTGATATATTGGAGCATAGATTGGACCTATCATTCCAACCTGTTGAGACCTTTTTGGAACTTGACTCTGTCAATCCAGTATATTAGCTTTGTGTTGTCCACATATTTGATAAGCATTCTATCAATGTCTCCATCCAACTGTTTTATTAAAAAAAAAAAACATTAAATGGTACAGGGACAAGGACATATCCCCAGAACTACCTGCAAGTTACCATGGAACTGTTAATGACTCTTCCTAGAGTCTGTTCATCTTGGAAAAAAAAACTTTGGATTTAGAGTCAAAGAACATGGGTTCTAATCCCAACTCAGCTTGCTTACCTGTATCACCATGAGTAAATCATTTAACATCCCTCAGCCTCAGTTTCCCCATCTATAAAATGATGAGGTTTGAATACATTATGTCTAAGGTCCTGGTTAGCTCTAAGTCCTAAAGACCAGCTCTCAATCCACCTACATATATCTTATGTGTCTCCATCTGGTCCACAAGGACCAACCAATTAATCAATCAACAAGTATTTATTAAGCGTCTACCAAGTGTCAAGCACTGTGCCAGGCATTGGGAATAGAAGTTAAAAGAATGAAAAAATCCCTTCCCCACCCCTGCAAAGTGCTTACATTCTAAGGGAAAGGGAATAAGCACATATAAAGAGCCTATTAGATACCAGTCACTCTGCTAAGAATTTTTTACGGATATTATCTCATCTGATCCTCACAAGAACCCTGAAAAGTAGGTTCTATTATTATCCCCACTTTACAGTTGAGAAAACTGAGGG